TACGTGGAGTAGGTGCGTTGAGGAAGATTGCGTATGTGCAGGATCTCGCGGTATGAAGTTCCTGAGCCGGAAAGTATTTCGGAGAAGTGTAAAGGTTGGAAAGTGAAGGAACTGGTACGTATCCATTAATTACTATGGAAGTGATTGGTGCTTGTTTGGTTCTAATGACCTCTCCTCATAGTGCTGAAGTTGGTCTTTAAGAAAAGCTCTATAAAAACGGGAACTAGCCCAACTCTCCCGCCCAACGATATTTGAAGACTTTTTACAAACTTCTTAACACAATCCATCTATTCATCTGACATCTGGTATACAAATTTGATTAATTTGTGACATTTTCTTTAGATGCTTCACTTTGTTACTGTTCTCTACAGTTAATTATTTTTTACACAATTAATAGAGGTATAGGAGCAGTACTATAACATTCGAATATTCGCATTTAATTAAGGTCTCTTTGCAATAGGTGCACGATAACTGGATGCGCGTTCCTAAGTTTCCACAACCCTAAAAATGCATTTCGTAGAACATACTAACCTTTTGCTACTTCCTTGAGCGTTTTCAGAGTAAAACCCCCTCCACTTTGGTAGAGTGCTTTTCCTTGGCAACAATCCACACGCTCTCCAAATTCCGGTTCATCTAATCGAGAAATAGAGCTTCGGATATCAATTTAACACTCTCTTAGGAGCGTAAAATACTGCGCTCCAGCGTCACTTATCTGACCCACGGCGAAAACAAACACTTCCTCCCCCTCCCCTACCCCGGGAGTTGTGCATACGGGCCATTGTTATTAAGCAGCGCTCACATCTTACGACTTCATGGAGGCGTGAATGAGAAAATAAAGTCGTAAAGCTTGCTATGGGATAACCCATGCCAAAAGGATTTGGAGATTCCGTTGCGAGACCAGCAACCTTCCCCCTCCCCCTTTAACGTCAGGAGATTGTAGTATCTCACCGAAAGTCAAAATGTAGGCAAGCGAACATCACGCAGATAATGTTTTATGAGTAAAGAGCTCAGAGCATATTCAATAACGCCAACACTTCGAAATACAATTTCTGCACACATTAAGCACCGCCTGTGCTATGGTATATTGAGGTTTTTCTAATCATAAATGAGTTGAAAACGAGTTTAAGGGATAGTTCAGCTATTCATTTTGCACCCTGTTGCACATGGAACCGCCTCGGTTCGAACCCTGCAGGTGCTTGGGTTAACGACCATTTCACTCGCAGAAAAAACTCTTAGTCTTTACTGTTAGTTCTAAAAAATTTCGAAAATAACATAAACTCCCCTTGTAGTAACTGAATAGAGAAGCATTAGTTAAGTAATACGTGAAGAACTTTGCACATGGTTGCTATTCCTCTCCTTCATTGTCGCTAATCAATGAATTGGATTCTGAGCTATATAAACCATTTAGAAAATAACTAGACAGTGGAGAAATAGACATTTGAAAACGAACATTTATTACTGCAACTTATCGTATCCTACAATAAACTGATGAACTAGCAGCATCCAAGTTTTCAGAGCTTCTTGACAGCTTTGCCACTCTCCCAAGCAGACATCTGAAAACACAAATATACACAACTGCAAAGTTTTAATCTTTACTTAAGCAACTCAAAATTAATCTCAAGGAAGCGCTTCAGTCACCACAAACAATTTAGTAAGCTCGTATGCTCGAAGGTGTGCAAGCACTAAAGTGGAAGTGGGGCAGTTTAGAAATACAATGGTGATAAGCCGATACCAATAGAAATTAATGGGCACAGTAAGAACCACGGATCCGAGCGGGCATATGATGGGCAACTGAATTAGAAGTGTTTCGAAGAAAACCAAACAAAAAGCATCAAGCCCGCGATTTCCACTGCACTTTCAACGACTATAATCTACACAGAGGATAGTTCCAAGCATAGTAAGCTTTCCAGAGTACAGTCCCTGCAAACGATGTCATTCAGCCAGAGGTCTGCAAAAGTGAGACTAAGTGCCACTGCACTAGTTTTCTACATTTTGGGAGTAAAAAAACATTTTACGGACTTATATACAAAATACATTAAATTCTGATTAATTTGACAAGGGCTGCGAATCCGCTACATGAATTATAAGTGCATTGTGGCACTTTATCCCTGCTAGATGTTCCCTATCCTATCACTCTGCATGACAACTTACATTCATTTGATTTGGATGATAAATCATCCAAAAAACACGAATGCTCATGAATTAGGATACCTGAAATAGAATCCTGGCGGAGAAATATCAGGAAATTAAAAAAACGGGGAGATGAATGAGTGGCTGGGAGTTAAGGTACGATCACGCACAAGTCAAAAATTTGTAATTCATCGTATGAACTAAGCAATCATGAGAGCTCTTTCATACTCTCCCAAAATGAATCTTTACTCCCGGCTGTCAAAATTTCAACCCATATCGCTTCCCACTTTCCATTGCAAGGGTTTGCAGTGCTGGCAAATTTTGGAAAGAAAATAAACTTCACAAAAGAATTATAAACACTAAGGACTAATTTGGTTGCAGAATTGGAATTCCTACAAATAACTCCAAGTTAAATATTCATTGCTTAAGCAATTCATTTTCCCTAATACAGAAATGTCAATGAAGTTGTGAACATGACCGAACATACGGGAACACGGAGCTGAATTAATACTCACTTTCAAAGTAGCTGATGCAGCTGCCCTTGTTTCACCACTTTTACCAGTCGGTTTGGTGCACTTCTTTATAACCTCCGCTGCAATCTGAGAAAAGCGTACATAGTTAATTCCAGCAGCTCTCCAAGCGACCATATCTGAAAACATATTTCGGGATGGAAATTAAAGAAATGTCCTTTCCCAATTTTGTCTTTCGAATGAAAACAGTGACTGAATAAGAATAAACAACAAACGTCGAAGAAGTAGTCGCGGTCAAAAAATGTTCATTCAATTTCACTTGAGGGAGAGAGGCCAATGTCCCGGATTGACCGCAAAAGTAAAGATTAGGCTCAAAGAAAGCCAGCCGTTTCAATTGCTAATGATTAAAGGAGCACGAGGAAGAGTTATTCTAATGGTTGTGTTTCACCAGACGATTAAAATAAAATTCCTATGAAACAGAACAACCCAAATAAAAGAAGGTCCGCAACCTAAAAAGATCGTCCGTCGACGCAACTCGTCCAAACTCCGCACTTCGTTAGCACTGCGACATCGTGGTTCCCGATGCGGGATGTATTTCAATTGTCACTGACCTTTCGACAAACTCCTAGATTCCTACGTGATTATCTTCTTACCACTCTTTTAGTCTGACGACTTTTGTATATGATGGTTTTTAGCGAATGTCGATAAAGAAATCAGACAAAAGAATAACGATCAGGAGCGTTCATTCTGCTAGTTCTATCGGAAGGGGAAAGTCCTGAGTCCAGCGGGTATGCTGGACTCAAACCCAAAAATAGAGGAGCGCCCGGCACAAACCCACAGATCCATGGACAATTCAAATAGAGGAGCGCCCGGCACAAACCCACAGATCCATGGACGATTCAATGAAACCACTTCAAGAAGTTGGTCTCTGATGTCAATGAACCCTATAAGTGAATAGAGCGCTGAGCCGTTTGAGCAATTAGTTGAGTTGCCACATGTTTGGTGTGGTTAGGGGTTCCGTACATTTAGATGTAGCATCAATGGGTGCTTTCAAAGTTTAAGTTTCAGAAGTGCATTGTTTCAACCAACCGATCGACCAACCGACCCATTAGG